AGCGCAACAGTCTTTGTTTACAGCCTTAATCCTCTAACTCCTAGATCAAATTTGTAATTCTCTTACTGTCAACCATAGAATTCTTATAATGTTAGTTCAGAGAATTTAGTATTGAATCAACTAATTATCCCTAAATTGATATTTCTCTTTATTCTCATCACTTATCTGGTTGATATTGTATTGATATTGTGAGGAGAAATTCTGTCTTGGTTACTCATGGGAGTTAAAGAGTTGACTCCCGCGTGCATCTGATAACAAAACTCTTTAAGTTTTCTGCCTCGGAACAAATTACCTCAGAAGGCATTTTAGGCTATCGCAATATTTTTGTTTGACTGAAAATAAACATATGCGGTAGTGAATTCCACAAATTTTCTTTTGTCAGAAAAGCACAGGATTATTTGCGTCCGCTTCTGACTTGTCGCCAATGCACAGTTTTCATAAGATAATTGAATTTATTCACGATTCATGTTTGACATCAGATCATAAACAAGCGAAGCGATTCACAGTAGTGGGTTTGTGCCTGAACTCGATAAAATTTTTCCACTTGCAAGATTATATCTAAAGCAACGATGCTTAATATGTAACAAAGCCTTACTAACGTCATGTGCGGTTACTACTCTAATGTGCTTTCGTGCTCGAGCGAGTTCGGGACGACTTATTACGAGTGTCTACATCTTAGTGAGTGAGTGACTCATTTGCATATCGGAATCTTCATAAAAACTCTTTTGCACGAGTTAAAAATGAGAAAGGAAAAAGAAAAGAGAGAAAAGATATTGACCATAGCAACAGGTTACCCAGGTGTTCAAACTTTCCCCACCCCCTCCCCTCCACAGCTGTTTATTTCTGAGCCCGGCTCTGTACCACAGGTTTACTAGCCTTCAAACAATATAAAACGAAAAAAAAAAGAATTGATGGAAGAGATATAAAGTGCCTATGTTTTTTTTTTTTGCGTTTTCTGGTTAATAACTGCATGTATTCAAAATTTGAAATTATCGACCTTAGCGCGTTGTGAGTTCTCCTTGACCATTTTTTTGCGCATTAAAAGTACAATTTGGCGGCCAAAAAGTGTCCCCATTTAACGCGCGGCCAAAACGATCATGTTACGTAGCTGTGACATAGAAAACTGTGCAGAAACTTCGTCGGAGAAAGAAGAAATGAAGAGGAGACGACGAACAGATTTCGTGGACGTAACACCAAATGAGGTTAGATAAAAGAATAATAGATCTACACAGGGTATTTCCATACACCACTTTCCAAAGGATGTAGCTGTATGGCCAAAATGGACGCGTTTCCATGGTAGTCATAGAGGAGATTTTATTCTTTAAAGTTGTCGGCCTTACGCTCCGTTTTGGCTTCGAAGACGGCTGTCACGAACACATGCCACTGGTCAAATCAGGGGAACTTAGATTGCCTGTGAATTCAGCTGAAAAGAATGCTGATTAAGGGGCCTATTCCACATCGGACACGATTATACCACATTCTTTTCGGCTGACATTACGCAAGCGAAGAATGGTGAGCTTCTCAATGTTGCTTATTTCACGCGCTTGAGAGATACTTATACTCTTTGTCTTTCTACATGATTACATTTGCGCTTTTCTGAGCATTTGATAATCCTACCAGTTGTAGTTTCCATCGAATTTTAAAAACAGAAATACATCATTTGCATTAAAAGTCAAGCCTTTTCCTGAGCTAAGCGGTATCCTGTTGCCTGAACAGTGCGAAACCTCAGGCGGATACTAGCATAAACACAAGCTCGAAGGGGCCTTGTGTTCTGCCAACCTGGGTTTCCAAAAATCCATCCCACGGGCCATCAATTCCCCTATGCCCTTAAGAAACTAAAAGTAGAAAAAATAGCAATGTCATGGTGATAACAGCACTGCAACGCGACGAATTGTGAAACACAAATACTATTGAATTTGATAGCAGCGAATCCGGGTGCTGTATGAAATTCAATGCATACGAAATATTCATTTACAACACTGATGTCCGCGGTTATTTGCCAGTGAGTGAAATGGGTCACGTGGCAATGCTGCACTCAAACTAAAGAGGTCTTTCTCTATTAAAAGTCTTATTGATGAATATAAACTCACTCGTTTTTCGTTTAAACGGCTCGACGACGATAGCCTCCGCTTTTACAATGTCTGAGGAAAGGAGCAACTTGCAGTAAAACTAATCGATGACTTTTCTGTGAAAATTATCGCGCGTGATTCATCTGATTCTTTCGATGCTGCAGTCAAAAGTAAGCTTTTGGTTTGCCAAGGGAATTACTCTACAGCAACGACACCCAAGAGCACTGACCATGCAAGGCGAACCTTTGCCGCACCTACCACGAAAGAATAATTTGTTAGGGCAACAGAAAAGAACACAGCTTCCCATTCTTGCTATGGATCTTAAAATTTAGTAACGGGAGTTTTTTGTTCTAATCTTGACCTTAACACCGCAAGCGAGAGGTCGTCTTTGTCCCTTTGTCAATCTTGGTCGAAATCTTTGTTTGATGCACGTGGTTCTTTTTTTGAAGGGCTGAACCGTACTTGCAACTGTCATTTCGTCTTTACTACTTGAGTCCGATATGTCACAACTCTTTAAGAGCTTGCTGAAGGTAGATAGACATACTTATTGGACATTATTAAACGAGTTTTTCAAAGCTGACTGATACAAAATTACAAGAGACGTGAGAGATTTGTAAGTGACAACTGAGAGTTTTCACAATTTTCTACGTTATCGCCGGCTAACTCCTTACCAGTCTACGGGACACTTAAAGTACAAAATAAGAGCGCTTTAGGGCCCGAAAAAACTGAGTTTCTTTTTTTTGAAATTTTTCTTCTATCGGAATTGGTTTGAATATATGATAAGCTAAATAAAAACGCAAAAAAAAAGTCCCTGTCGTGGGCACACTAAGAAGAGAAGAGACACTAAGCTTAAGTTGTGCATGTCTGAAA